CTGCTAAAATAAAGGAATCACAGTGGTGCTACGTCGGCTACCGCCGCCTCAGCCGGGCCATTGCCCAGCACAAAACCTCCCACCCAAGCGACACCTTCACCCTCAGCTGGCACGCCTTCTACCTGCACCCGGAGGGGCCGGGCTACCCGGGCCTCGACAAGCGGGAGTCCTTCCGCAAGAAGTTCGGCCAGCAGCGGGCCAGTGCCATCATCGAGCGGCTGACCGCGGTCGGCAAGACCGAGGACATCGACTTCAGTTTCGGCGGCCGCACCGGCAACACCCGCGACTCGCACCGCCTGCTGTGGTGGGCCGGCCAGAAGGAGAAGGCCGAAGCCAGCAGCAGCACCGCCACGGACAAGGGCTTGGTCGGCGGATTGCAGACCCGCGTCGTCGAAAAGCTGTTCCGCGCCTATTTTGAGGATGAGAAGAACATCACCGATCCCGCCGTATTGACCGAGGCCGCGGTCGGGGCGGGCTTGGACAAGACCGCCGTCGAGAAGTTCCTCGCCTCCGAGGACGGCGGCAAGGAGGTCGACGTCGAGGCCTATGTTGCGCAGCGCCAGTTGGTCACCGGGGTCCCCTACTTCATGATCAATGGCGAGTATGCGGTGCCCGGGGCGGACGAGCCCGAGACTTTCCTGGAGGTCTTCGACAAGGTGAAGAGTGCTTGAGTTATGGAGACTAGAGATGGCTGTATGCTGGAGTTATGTTTATTGGTATGGGTAATATTAGATAGATTCTTCATTTGAGCAAGTCTGGAGTAATGCTGGAGATAGCCGAGGCTATCTCATTTATGAGTCAGAAATGAAGCAAAGTAGTCTCACAATTAGCTGTCCTGTAGCGATGCCATCCTCTAAGGCACCGCCTGTGGCGACTAATCGTAGAAACAGATAGAGGCCCGCTCAAACGCCACAATCATGCAAGCAAAGAGCTACTACAGGAAAAAGAGAAGAAGTCGAAAAGGATTCATCCCAGAGCAGAGCGATAGCAAAGATGCCCCCCCGCAAACGAATCGGAGCATAATACATGGTCAGAGAAGTGGGGAGTAAGATGCGTCAGCCTAGGGACTGTGATAAAATGAACACCGCAACACCAGAGCACAGAAAAAGAGACGGGAACCGAGCCCAGAAGATATTATCATGACAGTCATTCAAGCCGGTCAACGGTGTAGAGGGTTGGTGGGTCATGGCGGGCATCCGGAATTTGACGGACAGAGGGGAGAAATTGGAAAAAAAGAGGGCGTATGGAAATGCATGTCACATCTAGTAGACGCTAGACTGCTGTAATTTGAAGTCCGGGATGTAATCGAACCAGTCCGTGGTCGCGTTGTAACGGTAAGCCTTGAACTCCACCCCATAGGGCTTGGGTTCCAACATGTAGAGCATGCCGAGGGGTACATCCAGAGAGGCAACTTCATCACGTTTCAAGCCACGGAAGTAGGCCAAAAGAACGCGCGCCACAGATCGGTGGGTGACAAGCAAAATGTGATCCGTCGTCCGCTCCATCTCGATGATCACAGCGCGAAGGCGGTTGATCACGTCCAGATAACCTTCACCGCCAGGCCCGGGGTAGCGGTAAAAGAGTTTGTTCTTGCGACGAGCCTGGTATTCCTCAGGGAACTTCTCACGAATCTCATCGTAGGTCATACCCTCCATCTCGCCAGCGTAAAGCTCATCAAGCATTTTCATCTGCTTCACGTCATAATCATCTTCATTGAAGTAATCGACTGTTTGAATCGAGCGCTGCATCATTGAGGACCAGACGCAATAGTTACGGGCGCGGTCACAGGGGATGTAGGAGGGATTGGGAGGAGTGCTGTCGCCAGCGCGGGGTGGTAGGTGTCGTAGCATCTCCTTCTGTCTCTGAATAAGCTCCCATTGACGCCGCTGGTGGTCGATGAATCGAGTCAACGCCTTGGCATATCGATGGCCGTTCTCGCTAAGCTCCGAGTCACCGCCAATGCGACCCAGCTGGTTATCCTTACTCTCACCGTGTCTCGTGATCCAGATCTGGCGAGGTGAAAGGTTGAAGTTGAGCAGATAGTACACAACCTGCGAGGAAAGGAAGCCATGCGTCTGATGAGCCACAATTTTGCGTCCGACGTCAATCATCTGAATGAAGGCCATATTGTTCTTCTCTTCGTACTCGCCCAGAGGAACATACGACTTCTCATACAGAGCCACGCGCTGCTTGAAATCGGCCAGCGCCTTGACGGGGTCTTGGTCCTTGTAATCCGGACCGGAAAGTTTCAGGCGCATGTTGGCTTCGAGGAGCTCTTGATCCACACAGCTGCTTTCGAGGAAGAGGATATTCAATTCCGTGCCGGCACGCTTGCGAATATGATCAACGATTGTCTTCCGACGCTCCATGGTGCTGTTCGTGGCATCGAGAATGCCCACACTACCTCCCTGTTCAAGAATGTACTCCAGCAGCTCGTCCAGGGTGTCCAAAGCCACCTGTTCTCTCAGTTTCACGGCGAGTTGGTTCTGAGGGTCAAAGAAGTTGGCGGACTGATCGATGGGCTCGGGGGATGCTTCGCGTATGGCGTCCTGGTCCTCAAGACCTGCATTAAAGGGGGGTACAATCGTGCTTTGTGAAGGGTCCTCCTCCTTGCCGTTGACCAGAATTTTGGTGGGACACGCAGGAGGTGGAAGCTGGTTCTCGAGTTCCGGGGGCGAAGACACTACTTCGTTCGATAGGCCGGAAGCACCTTCGGGGCGCCGAATGTCCTTGTGCGATGGTTGGTTGGAGGTGCCGACGCTGACGCTCAGGCGTCGGACCGAATCGACAAGCTCGCTGTGAATGACGCTGGCTCGGTGGCTAGGACGGCGTCCCGCGACAGAGGGGGACTTGCCAGCGGCCACACGACGACGATTGCCGACGTTGAAAATCTCAGTATCATGCTGAAGCCAATTCAGGTACCGCGCGAGTTTCTTGGTGACGTAACTCTTTCCCCGGGCGGGAAGGCCGACCATGACAATGACGAGCTTGGATCCGACATCTCGCTGGGCGATTCGTCCGTCGGGGGAGACCTTCGACTTGGTGAGACCGGGGATGTCGAGTGTGGTTGCACGCACACGACCAGGGAGGTTAGGGGTTGATGAGTTGGCAGGACTAATGACAGTCGGTTAGTTTAAGAGATGTCCTCAGCTTCGGCTACATCACACCGCGCATTGCGACCGGAGGTCATCAATACAGAATCGAAGAGCATATCAAGTCAAAGCCCTCGTCGAAAGACTTGACCGACAATTGCTGCAGGTAGGGGAAGGAGGGGGAAGGGGAGGGGAAGGGGGTAATCTGAGGAAAGGTGACCCCCTCTAAGTGCCGGTACGAAATAACCCGACTCCAGAGCAAACTGCCGATCACTCCCCAGGCTGCGGCAAAAATCTAGAATGCTCTTCCGGCCAGAGTCGACTCAATCGAGACCTTTAGGGGACATGTGCAGGAAGGCTAACCAACGAGCAGACGAAAAGAAAGGAAATACATACAATTGTGGAGACGAGGGTGCGGTAGAAACCGGAGTGTCTGTTAGGGCGAACCCGACACCATCCTTGGAGGCTTGGGATCCCTTGTGGGCATCGGAGGAATGCAGTTCGTTTCCTAGCGCTCGTCCGACCAGCGATTTCGCCGGAGGCATAAGATTCGCCTCTTTCCCGGCTCCCGACTGTGACGGAGTTCCAGAATGTTTTTTCCCGTCGCGTTGGTGATCCGGAACTGAGGCGCAGGTCATGATGGCCGAACGCGCAATATCTGTGTGTTGAGACATCCCCGCAGGTGGCGCAGGGACGCAGCCTGAATTAAGAGAGAGAGAACGATGAAAGTAAGGTGTCAAAGTGGGGGGGGAGGGTTTTTTCGCGTGAAGGCAAGGGAAACTGCGCAACTCTCTGATAAGGGAATCAAGAGAAAGAGAGGGAGCAGTGAGGGAAGAACGATGGGTGCAGTCAGTCGTAGCCAAGAGTGGAGGGGAAAAAAAGAGTGGGAAGTCGCAGTGGTGGTGGGCGGATGAGTCAAGTCCACACAACGTCACTCTTCGCAAAGCTCTGTCGTCGTGGTCTCAAACAACAAAAACAATAATAGCAACAATAGCAACACAACCCAGCGCAATCATCAGACTTCCAGAGTCTTATACAGCCAGAGAGTCAATTGCGCGATGTCGAAATCTCCCAGATAAAATGGGGCGAAGAGATAGCCAGGCAACATGCAATCAAGGAATTGGACAGCCAATTGGGGGGGTGAGATGCAAAGCAAGGCTTCTTCTGATCCGAATGTTCCGAGCCACCAGAGATATAAGATGATAGTGTATACTCAGTAGGAGTAGGGTAGGTAGGTGAGAGACCAAAGTGGTTCCAAGCAATGGCAGGTGAAGGTTCACGCACGAGTTTAATTGATTTGATACAAGGATGAGGACCACCAGGTTGGAAGTTGGAACAGCAATACATATAAGCTTGGGGGGGGCTTATGGGCTATAGCTTACTGATGAAGTCACTTGGAGTCGCTTAGTTTCTTAAGGGTGTGTGGATCGGCCGAGGGATCTGCTGCACTGCTGGAACTGCTAACTATGAGTACTCCCCAATGATCATAGATGATGTCAATTCTCTATCTCCAGTCTACCCTCTCAGATAAAGCCCGCGACATCCCGACAGCCATATAAATACTCTGGCCCACCCCACCGGATGCATATTTCCGATCCAGAGCAATCTCACTCTGACTGCCCAGGAGAACTAGAATGCTTGGCCCAGCAAGGGTGGACGAAAGGACTCATCATCATCACAGGTCATGACAATCCTCAACACCCGAGCACGAGCCCTGTTGTTGAGACGCCCAGCATTAGCCAAGATTGCTCACCACACTTGCCTTGTAGCAAACCTGCGTCTGATCCAGCCACTTGATGGCCCCTACATAGACTCCGGTCAGCCTGCAGCTGCATGAAGGCGGCAAACCTAGGCAGAACCCATTCAGCTCATAGCCAACAGTCCGAACTCAGCAGCTTAAATGCATTGGGATCTGACTGTGTTTTCGTGCTGCATGCTATGTTAAATTACCATTGAATAATAAGGTCGCTTACAACCTGCGTCGGTGGAATTCAGGCTCAATACTCGACCGAGGTCATACAAGGCTTAGACGGTCGCACCATCACGTTGTTTGCCAAATATACTAGCTGCAGTTCCCCGAAAGTAGACCACGATCCTAACCCAGCTAGGATGACATCGGAGAATGTGGATGGCCCCTTTTGACGGCGTCAATCAAAAGCCAGCAGTAAGGGGGGTGGACGTGGACCAATGGTATCCTGTCCCCTGCAGGGTATTGGGGTGATACAACCGATGCTCAGGACATTTGGATAGTGGTACCAACTGAACGGTGGAGAGCTCTAGACCATGTCTTGTCTACAAGTCCTTGAATAGATGCTTCCATACCCCACTGAACCACTCCCGGTCCTTTTCCCATGCCTTCACAATCAGATTTCTGCCCAAATGGACGAGGTCCGCAACCTGTTCCGGAGCCCCCCAGCCCCGAATCATAGAACCGAATGCGATAAAATGAACACCGACGTGAATCAGGACCCAGAAGGCGAATGCCTCATCTGGCACTTGGTATCCCCCGAGAAAGCCTTCAATCATCCACGGCCCAGCATCGATGCCTCTGTAATGCTTCAACATATACAATTCGGCGAGCATCTGGCCCAGATCCCACGCCCGAGGGCCGAAATGACAGAGCTCCCAGTCCACAATGAAGAGCGAGGTCTGAGGGCTCAAGTCTAGTGCCGATATGGGAACCAAAACACTGCTGTCGCGTCAGCCCTTCGATATCTCCCAAGGGGTCGCAGCAATTATACACTGTGGGAGAGGAAGATGACCTACTTTCCCGACCAGAAGTCCCCATGGATGATTCCATATCCGAGTCCACCCTTCTTTTCCAACTCAGCGGCCGCCGCTACCCGCACCTTCTCGAATACCTCGCGGGCTTCGCCCAGCAGAGCGGGATACTGATCGATTCTCTCCGCGAGACTGCCGTAGTTGACGGAGAGTTTCAAGTCCCGCATCGTGCGATTCTTTTCCAGTTCCGCCACCACGTTCGCCTGATCCGTCTCGTCGGTCCATCGATGGAATGCCCACAGCCAGGTGCCCAGCGCCTTTCCAACCGAAACGGCCCATTCCTGGGAGATGATCGTCGACGCAGCTGAGGAGATGCAGAATGTCTTCAGATCCAGGGAATCGGGGAGATCCTCTAGGACGGCGGTGTTGGTGTCGGGATTATAGGTGAGGAGTCGAGGAGGCTTGACTGTGATGACTCGGCTTTCAGACTTCCCCTTCAGGGTCACTGTGCTGGGGAGCCCATCGAGGGCCTTCAAGCTGGCCTCCTCAAAGAGCTGAGTGGTCTTTGTCAGCTATCCATTTCCGAAAGTTCTCCCAACAGGGGAAGGGGGAGGGGAGGGGTTACACAGCGCTCAGCAGTCAGTTTGAAGTTCCGATTCGTAGCTGTATAACCTTCTGCGTGCTTGATGATGACGCTTTTTGTGCCATCCTCAAGGGGTCGGGACAGCAGTCCTCGGAAGACAAAATTGACGGTTCCTCCGCTTAGGCGCGCGAGGGACGAACATGCATACGGCGTGTGCTCCAGCTCGCGGGTGATATTGAATGCGAAGCTATCTTCTGGCTTTGCGTCCATGTTTAATTGCGGAAGAGAGAGGGGATGGGGATAGTTGACTGGTAGGAAGCTATGGTCATATACTATATCCACTAGGCACAGTCTGGCGGGGTCCGAAAATGGGATAGCGTGGTCTTGTGGTCCTGACTCTTGTCCTTTGACTATTGACAATAGGTAACAAGCAAGCCTTAATTGATTAGTTTGTATTGCATGAATTTCGCTTGAAAGAATCGATCTATGCTCAAAGCTTGGCGAGCGGGGTTCTTGTTAAGGTTGGAAAGCTACTCTCCCACTCCCTGACTGACTCACTATATTAGACTATACTTCCTGCAAGTGACAACAAGTGGCATGTCAGGCTAGGCTTTTAAGCGTCGGGTGGGTTTCAAAATGAGTCAGCCATCGTCGATACGAGCTGAATCTTTGTTCTGAGCCACCCATCAACCCCGGACTACCGGATGCATGTCAGCACCATGCTGTGCAAACGAGGCTGATGCCCAGCCTAGGGGTCCTGCAATGGACTCAGATGCAAGGGTATATGTATATGCTTGTCTTGATTCATGAAATGTCTGTGTTCTAGGCTTGGAAGTTCGAGGATGCCAATCTGGTCCAGATAAAGTCTATCTGGAGTTAATCTCTGTTTCAATCTTCAACCACATGTACAGCTAAGTCCCATGACCTATGGCAGGCTAATTAACATCCCTGCCCATCAACTGGTCAATAATGCCATGCATGCACTCTCCCACAATATCAAGATACTAAGACATCATGATAATACCTTCTTACCGAATAACTCTCAGCTTGAACTCACCCCACCAACCACCAAAATGACCCCAAGCACTCAGATCAGAACACGCTTATTCAGGTTGGGAAGTCCCTGATTATAGTTAAAGCACGCCCTTTGCTCTTGGCGGGGTCCACTTGTTGTGACTTACACTGTTGGAATGGAGCCCATCCCCCACGCCTTACGACGCCTTAGACGCCTTAGAAGCATGCGTACGATGAAACGAGAGACATCCTTTGACTACTCCATACCTTCTTGGGTAATTATAAAGCGAGTACCATGGTTCCTCCCTGCTCATTCACAGACTTACAGCCATCCCACAATCCTTGTGTGTGGAATGTGTCCTCATAATGTCCACCAGTGGCATTAATCTATGTGTCAAGGCCATCCAGGAGCTATGGGCCCGGAAGAGCGTGAACATTTCCATAAACCTGGTCGGTGAACAAGGAAACACCATCAAAACCTACACAAACTCGGACCAGATCAATGGAACCGCAGCCATTACAGTCGAGCACGATGTGGACTTTGACCATCTCAATATCACCTTTGAGGGTAAGCAGTAATGAAGAAAGCCACTGCTCTGAGCATCAGCTAAAACACATAGGTGTCTATCGGGTGTATAACGAGCGAACCGGCCCTCCGCACACCGATCGACGAATCGGTGCTTCCAGGACATTCCTCAAAATGCGATATCCTCTTTCCACCAACATCTTTCCGTCGCCGCGGCAGTTTAAGAAGGGTGAAACTTATTCCTTTCCCTTCAGCTTTGTTGTTCCGCACTGCATAGAACCGCCTGTTTGCACATCGAAGCTCGATGAGGCCCATACACAGCTTCCGCTGACCCTTACAGGCGGCAGCCGTGATGGTTTTACTCCGTCTATATGCGAAGTCATATATGCAATTCAAGTTCGGATAGTGAATGGTCCCAGGAGGCAAGTACTGGCAGCCCAATCAAAGCAAGTGAGGGTGGTCCCTACCAATGATCAGACACATTCGGGTCTAGGTGGGAAAGCGGATGTGGAGGGCCATCAGATAGATCCGCACATACTCGAGCAAGTGATTGGTCGGTTCACCTTGACGGCATCTCAGCCACCGCCTATTCGGCTTCTTACGCCGGAGTACGTGGTTTCGAAGGATATTTGCTCGATTGCGGTGCGTGTCCGATTCGATTCCGTTGATCGAGTTCCTCCACCACGTCTGAAGACTCTTCGTACCAAGCTTGAGGTGTCAACCACATACACTTGCAATCCTGGAATTCAGGTAGGCTGTGCTTCCACAGCTGGCACTGATCGTTTTGTCAGATCCATACCATTGTCCTCTGTCTGTATGAGGTCGGTGCAATGGCAATGGGCTAGGCGGAGTCAGAAAGATAATCTCGCCAATGATGACTCCCAGCACCTTGGCTGTGCCGGTGATTGTTACGAGGCCTCGGTTGTCGTTCCAATCACCCTTCCTAGGGACAAAGTTCTTGTCCCCTCGTTTGCTTCTTGTCTCATGAGCCGGGATTATATCCTCAAACTGTCAGTCTCTCATTCCACTTCAAGTGTATCGCCGTTACATACAACCGTTCAGATTGACATCCCATTGAAGATAATCTCAATGGTGGATTCGATTGAAACGCCACGCAAGTGGCGCAGCGACGAGCGGAATAACAATGAGGGTACATCGTAGCCAGTCTGTGCTTAGGGTAGAGTAAAGCTTCTCTTTGCCTCGCTGTGGCCACAGTTTTCGCACTAGGTGCGACATTGTGTACATAATTGCCGTTAGTCTTGTTGAGCTCTGTCATCATGCATTATCTAATTTTGGTCCGTGATCATCGTCATGAAGGGAAAACCCATTCAAATGATGCAGCATCCCATCCCTCTCAGAATCTGCCACTTGATCAATATGCTGGCGTCGGAAGGCAGCAATCCACTTGGGATTGTCAAAGATGGTCTGATTCCACGAATCCTCGCAGTCGTAAACCAGTCTCCTCGACTCCTGCTGCAGCATTTCGTCCGTAGGAATGATCCCCTTGTCCATCTGCTGGCGCGCAAAGCGACTCAGGTGAAACACAAGGACCTCAATCATATCGTTCCCCGACCCAGCACTGACTGATTCTCCGAAAGACCCTAGCTGGCCGTCGGCATTCAGTTCATGGTCAGGGGCATTCAACTCGCTCGTCCCCAGTCGTGATTTTATCTGGTTGAGATGGTCATAGTGGTGGAAGTTTGTGGCTGAGAACGGCACAAGTACACGCGAATCCGAAGCAATGTGATACGGTGGCAGCGAGTTCACCACAAGTTTGGCAATGGCCGGAGGAAAGTCATGGTCCCCTCGCCAGTCGTCCATCGTCGATCCACTGCGGAAGTGATTGCCGAGATGATCGACTCGCTCTTCCCAGGACGACAGCCTCTGGTCACAGAAACCGCAGCGAGACGTAACTGGAGGCCCTTGGACTTTCCAATCATCGATCTGGGGTAGAGTCTCAAGATGATGCGTCCGTCGCAGATGTTGCACCAGATGGTCCTTGCGACGGAAAGTGCGCGTACCACCCATGCAAGGCTCATACTTGTGTTCGTTGAGGTGTTCCGCTGTCGGGTCTGGCATGTTGCAAAACGAGCAATGCCTTCCCCCAGTAGAAGGCGAAACTACCGTCCCGCCTTGGGGTGCACAGACCCATTCTTCCAGGTTCAGATGGAGAGACTTTTCATGTCGAGCCCAGTCATATTTAGTTCGGAATTGATCGCAACAAAAGGTGCAACAAAACAGACGGCCTTTTTCCCCTGGATTCATTTTCGCACTCCTGCCCTTACGCACGCGTCCAGTAGCACGCTTTTTGGAAGTCCGTATCGGACCTTGAGACTTCTGGGAGGTTGCCGATTTGGCCGAGGTGGAAGAGGGCTGGGAAGAGACACTGCGGGCGCTACTTTGTGAGCTGGGTATCGACGTGGTTCGATGCCGGTATGCCTTGAAAGAATCATGCAATGGACCCAGGCGTGCAGTGCCCATTCCATGGCTGCTTTCTTGATCATAGGTTGGCGGGAATCTTCTCAGGGATTCCATGATCGCTGACAGCGAGGCTGGTTCATCTTCCGGCGGTGAATCCTGCCACCGCTGTAAAGGGTCGGCAGAAAATTGGGGGTTTGGGATGTAGGATGGGGCGGTGTTCGTTCCTCTGCCTCGTATTGCATATCGGCTTTTTCGTCTGGGGAGCGTGCGTTGTGTGTCCGGGTTGAACATCGGTGGCGTGGTATCGGCGGGCACTGAGAGCGAGGCGCTGCCAAAGCCACTATCCAACGCGGGTAGCGCTGCCTGAGTATCATGAGAGTCATGGAGTGAAGTAGCCGGTAGGCTATCGGGATGGTACTGAGAGTCAAAGCTAGCTAATCGTTCGAGGCTCGACGCCGGCCACAGTTCGCTGTCTATTTTTGGGATGGCGTGGTTTGACAGGAGGGAGTTTGATATATGGAAGCCCGCGTCCACACCACCGGTCAGTTGCTGTGCTACGGTGGGTTCAACATGAGTGAAGCTATAGTGTAGCTCAGGGATTGCTCCTTCGAAGTTAGTGATAGGGCAGGCGTGGGCTGGATTGATGGAGGAGGCCAACGCGATTGAGCTTCCGTCCCCATGTGACGTTAAGTCTCTGTTGTGATTGATCTCCTCGTCATCGAATGATGTGAGTTCACACGTGTTATCGTCCATCTCAAGGTTGAGAAATCGATCCCATTCCTCCCATGTGCCGCATGCAACCGACTCAATTGTGGAGAACCTCCCATTTTGCTGGGTCGCATCATCAATGTTCAAGCTGTGTGTTGATTGTTGCATAATACATGTCCTATGTCTGATTCCCGGCTGTTTGGGGCTCCAGTGTGTGTGAATGGGAAGTCCGTTGGTCTGGGACTAGTATGATGATGGGTGTGCGTGGGTGCTGGGTAGAGTAAATGAGTACTGAGGATCCAAGAGACTATGAGTACAAGTAGAGAGGAGGAGTCACCCGATAACCAGAGGTGATTTGAAGAGCGACGGACTCTTTCCGCCCCGCTAGCCCCACATAGTCCGAGGTCCCAGGATTAAATTGCTACGTAAATCCAACTCCCGCTGTGGCTCAGAGTCGGGATTTCTTGTGGTGTAACACCAATTTAGCATAAGTTTCATCAGCAAGGCCTGCTGGCCCAATGGTAAGGCGCTTGACTACGAATCAAGAGATTGCAGGTTCGAGCCCTGCGTAGGTCAATCTTTTTGCCTTTTTCGACTTGTGTCGTAGCTGATGCAGGTTGGAGATGTTGATAAAATGTGTGCGGCCACCCGATAACTCAATCGTGTGCTAGTGGTGGTGTCGGAGAAAGAAATCATAAGTTCGGCCTCTGGTCGAGTTCGCATCGTGCGTTGAACTCCAGCTGTATCTGCGGGTACAATGGGATCTGTCTCTATAAAGCTTTCTTTGGGTAAACCGTATCTTCAATCGGGTGGGGTAGAGAGTGCTTGGATACATATTCCCGCATAGCCTGCGCATCTAGTTGCAACAGTAAATCAGGTCGATACACCGTGAGCCCTTAACTCTGCAACAAGTGTATTGGACGGCCAAATGCACCCAGGCATACCGTCATTGTGAGTTCCAGACCGATCAAGAAAGCAGCAAACATACAACGCATGTCACTGTCGAACTAAGTTCGAGATATCTCGGTAGACCGCCCGGTTCATGGGTTCGATGAAACTTTGTATTATCAGATCTTACGCCGTCGTTACGTTATTCGGTCTGGCCACTGTATTGATTGCATTTGAACTGACACTCGAGACCGATGCTGCTTGTGTGTATACTGGCGCTTGGTGCGGGTCTTCAGCCCTCTCTGCAAGGCACCGATGCTCTTGTATATGCTGATGCTGTGTGCGGTATGGCTATCAAGCATGCTTTTGGTTCTGATGGCATATGAGCAGTATTGATGCATCAGCTGGCCTGCTGGCCCAATGGTAAGGCGCTTGACTACGAATCAAGAGATTGCAGGTTCGAGCCCTGCGTAGGTCATTACTTTTTGCTCCCTTGCCAATGTAATTGGCCATATCCTAATCCTACCCAGATCAACACCACGGCACTGACCTTATCCGCAGGGCCACAATTTACCCAGTGCATACCGGCGACATATATCCGCGACCCTGAGATCGATCGATCGTACACACTCAAAGAGGGCAATCGAATGGTACGCACAGCGCAGATCGAGAGATAAGTATAAAAAGAAAAAGAAAAAGTGCTTCCTACTCATACGTGATCACCCGAGAAGAATACGTCCATCTTATTGTCCGGTGGAAAGCCCACCATGACGTTGATTAATATTCGTAGGGACCCCATGATAGATTGCCCGACATTGTACCCAAAAACACGTTCCCAGAGGTATTATCAAGGAGGCATGGATGATGTATGAGCAAAGTAAAAAAAGTAATGACCTACGCAGGGCTCGAACCTGCAATCTCTTGATTCGTAGTCAAGCGCCTTACCATTGGGCCAGCAGGCCTCGCTGTTGAAGAATTAGCGGTAGCTGTGCACTATATCTCAAAACCTATTTTCACAGTATTCAATTAGGGCAAATCTCGGTCCAGCTGGCTGTTTGTACTGCACAACAGACACCAACCCCAACCCCAACCTCAAAGTATCTGCCACTACCAGCCAAACCCCCCCGGGTACATAATACACAATACTCAAACACCTGACATACACTTCCTAAAAAACACAGACTTGCCAATTATTCAATATATATAGTGCCAAGAGCACATTCATTACTTTCATTTCTAACATATAAGCACCCACAAACGCAGCTTTCGCTCTAGGATACGGAACCCACGGGTTCCTTGCGTCGCTTCTAGCAGCGGCGGAAGTCTCTCCTGGGAACAAGGCTGTAGGTCCGCTGAAGCTACCGTAGCAACTTCTTCCAATCCCTCCTCCTAAACGTCGCCGGCCGCCGGCATCCGCCGATTTTCTGCCAACCCCTCCCTACGTTACCCAGGATCTCGGGCGCCACGCGCACGACGAGCTCAAGGTATTGCGAGTCCGGCTGGCAAGCGGCGAACTTTGCAGGGGACTCGTGGTGGTGATACCAGGTCGTCCGCCGCATGCCAATGACCACGGCCTGGAGATCGGAACCATTCTCCATCGCCGCCTCCATGAACCGGAGTCGATGCGGACTGGCGCTGATATACTGGAAGGCGTTGAAGTGTTCGAATGTCGCTCCTTTGTCTAGGAGCGAGCGAACGACAGAGTCTAGCAGGCGAAGATATCTCTCCGAATGGTAGCTCCAGTGGTAGTGGCGGTTGCACAGAATGTCCAATGGAAGTGGACTGCAATCGGGGAATAGTTGCTCATCGCAGGCCACGAGCCCAACATCAATGGCAGGATGGTCCAGCAGCAGCTGCGCTATCTCCAACCGGCCACTGCGGGCGGCCCAGGGCAGCAAGGGCCAGCCCTCCAGCCCGTAGGCATTTGGACTCACGCCGGCGCGCAAATAACACTCAACAAGAGAGTAATCCCCAGCCGCAACAGCCTCGAAGACGGGCTCACGGAAGGGAATGGAGCATAGGTCCGTCTGCCAGTCTTTGTAGAGGGCCCGGCCGTTTCGATCGATCCAGAGCAGCTCTCGGTACTCATCCAGGGTCGCCAGTGCAAACTGCCGGGCTTTCTTCCGGAGCAGTGAACGAAGCATCAAGTACAGATACTTGCAAGTCTGGCTGAGATTAGCCAGTTCTCGATTGGTCATATGCTCAAAGCACTCCAGGAATATCTCTGCTGGCAATCTCGCCAGCTGAAGCGAGCGCCACTGGCGATCATCCTCCAACACAATGGCTGGATACTGTGGATACTCAGGGCCATGGTAGTACATACAGTCCAAGCTTTCCACTGGATTCATATCCTCAGCTGCCCTGACGGTTGCACCCCACCAATATTCGTCATTACTCGGGTCTTCCATTATTTGATAGCGCTGGAGTAGACAGAGGCCCAATACTTGCAGCTCACAGGGAAATCCCGAAGAGATAGTCCAAGCGACATTATTGCTTCTTATGACTATATATCCATTGATCTACCTTCAGACTGACCCAAGTGTAGATAAACAAGAACCACTGTCAGGTGAATCTCCGTCATTGTCTTTGTTCTGGGAGTTGGTGATTCAGCAATGCCTTTGTTCTGGCGTAGAGATTGCGATAGATTTCTTACACTGTAACTAGCACTTGATCAGAACGAAACTTATCGGCCAGTCTCAGAACCAACAAAGAGATGTGCATTTGACAGCTGCGGAGAAAGACAATTTACCTCCTACTGAGGAAATAAGATCGCTGATTTAGCGGTCGTGCTCGACACCCTCTCCCAGAGCCATTGTGTTCATGTGAAAATCTCCTGTTCAGGAGAACATACCCGAGTGGATAGTTATGCATACCGCGTCAAATGAGCAATTCACCTGCAGAGTTCATTGAAGCTTGCAATGTCCTTGTCTGAGCCACCGCAATTATCAACAGCTGGAAGATGCCCGCGGATCGCAGTGCTTGAGCTTACAGTGACAACCCCCAAGGGATTCTTCAGATTCCCAACTTGATAAGCACCGCCTATCTTGGCCTGGACATGAGAAAGACGCGGCTTTTGTTATTGGCTATAGCATATACACAGGACTGAAAGTATGGTCGCTTCTAGTGATTTACAAGACCGAAACTGGCTATCCAGAAGGGCTGGATTGATAGCCTGGCTTAGGCGACCTTTAATAACGCCAAGGTGAACGCAACGACCCCAGACACAGCCATAATCGGCGCACTGGTGTACCTTGCTGCCGACTCCGATTTCGTAGTCGCCGCCGCCGCCGCCCCAGTTGCGGTGCTGCCCGACTTCCCACTATTCGCCGTTGCTGTAGCTGTAGCTGCCATTGCGGTAACAGGGTGGGGGACTGTGCCCAACGTCCAGGTGAAGGTACTTCCACTAATGGGGGTGGAGATGACACCCCCAGTATTTGACAGCGTTTCGGTCCCGTTCGCAGGTAGGTCTCCAGGTTTGTAGAATTGAGTGGTGTTACCAGCCGACGAGGCACCATAGCCCAGCGCTCCCGCACAGTCATAATTCTCAAGATAGGGTCCACAAATGTCCCAATCATGAGCAATCACGGCGTTGTACCAGGTATCTGCACCTAACAATGCCGGCTGCGTGTTGGGACACACGCCCCATATCCTAGATACTGTCAGCGATCCCGCCTTTTCACTCGGCGATAGGGTAGAGAGAAGAGGACAACTCACGTGGAGATGATAGCACTTTTCCCACAGCAAGTACAAGCTCGCGCGTAGTCGGCGATGTCCTCCGCGCTTGTTAGTTGATCGAGGTTCGTCATATTGTTCGCGCACGTGGTCATATGGTCCGCAATCAACAACTCCCGCTGATCGACCTTGCCTATGTTGCATGAACAACCAGCGGGGGCGTCGTCGGGAGGCGGCCAAAAAGGGAGCTGAGTGATGTTCACGGAGGGACATAGATCGATCAAGTCTTCAATTGTTTTCTGGTACTCGCACGAGTAAACCTATCCATTCCCCGGACCCCACCCCCTTCAGTCAGTCTTGGATGCTTGAGATGCATGAGATTGTCTGCCACATACCTGATTCCAACAAGCAGAAGCCGCGCAGTCAATTTCGCGGGATGCTTTCACACAACCACACACATTGATACAATCAATGCCCAGATTGGGACATTGGCTCTGCATGCAGGCCACATCACCCCCGCACGCTTTGTAGCATTCATCCGAGCCACCAGCACAGTTATTAGTTATGCACTGAGCGTAATAATCGGATGCATCATCGTAGCACGATTCAAGCGCCGATGGGGCCACACAATCGGACGAGTCGAAGTATCCGGCCTGCTTCGACACCACCACTTGAGATAACGTCGCTGCAATGGCAAGCCAAGCTCCCGTAGAGAAAGCCATGATGTTTGCGTGGTAGGAAAACGGTTCAATTATCGTCACCCTGGGAAGGACCTGGGAAGGGGATTTGGTTTAAATCCTCCTCCAACCCCAATTTGCCATATCGGGGTTTCTGCGGAGAACGATCGGGCAAATATTCAGGGTCTAAGGTCAGGGACCGGCTGAAGTGGTGGGCGGCCATCTCAATCGACGGTTCCTCTTGGCACAGGCCATGGCCGGGTCTATTAAGGCAATGAGCGGAGGGATCCCGACAAAAAAAGGTCTCTGGCCAAGGAAGAGGCCTGACTCGCTAGAGCAACTAGCCGATCGAATACGAGGGCCTGCAGGAGAAACATGGGGCTTGGCGCAGTGAAATTCGACCGGGCCACCAACCACAGACTTGCGGAGGCTGATAGAACTAAGTGGCTAGGCTGCGAATGCGGGGATGAGATTGAGCTGGCAGTATTCCGTTGGCAGATGCCTATTTGTGCGGAGATTGATTGTTCGGGATTGCCTATGAATTGCACAAGTGTGCACTGGTCGACTGAATTTCCATCTCTGGTTTAGTTCTTGTTGGCCATCGGAACAGTAAAGATTGCCTAGTTATAGTCATGTTTGCTTAGTTGACGAGTCATTATAGAATGTAGAATAGTTAGCGTATAATATAAGTGTGAGGTGAGTCACAAATCGGAGCCAAATAAGGGGAGCATCTTGTTCACAAGGGGAGGTGATGGGGGATGGAAACATACAGGTAAGGATGTTGTTATACCGTAGACCAGACCAGATCAATGAAGACATTTCATCTGAGGACTATCCTTCAGTATCTATCATTTGACATCGCATGCCATCTCTCGTTCGTCTGAGCCACAGAGTCTCGTCTCAAACCCGTGGATTTAGCTCATCAATCCGTGCAATAGCATGGGATTCAGAGCCGCAGGTGACTCTCTAATCGAACAGGGATGAGCAGCCTCGCGCAAAGACTGTCGGAGGCAGCGCTGTTGAAGTCGGTTGGACGGCGCTACAGAACAGCGACCGTAGCCTTGGCAGCTACAGGACCAAATGGTTCATCTTGGCGTTAGCCAACACCCAATTCACTTGCACAAGTGCAGAACGTCGATGGTGAAGGCCGAGTGATGTGCTGAGCAAGCCGGACATCAACAAACTGAAGAGCTGCACGAATACGGGGGATTGACTTCGAGAGGCATAGAGTGTCACCTCGCTTACTCTGCGCGTGATGCCTTGTAGCTGAATGCGGGGGAGGCCTGATGAGCCTCTGTTCCTGAGCATCTGGTCAGCCTCGTGTTGTTGTTGTTGAGGCTTTGAAAGTCTGGGCTGTGGCTGGAGAAGTTGTTGTTGATTGCTTTCCGTTTGCTTGCGGAGTCGATCTGGTTTAGTGCATGCATGCCTTCTGGCTTCCCCCCACGCCGCCGCCTTTGCGACTCGACTCTCTTGACAAACAACAATCAAGCAATCAATATGGCCCACCGTTGTCTCTCTGAGTTCATCCCACTTCAATCTCAATGATGTTCCGTATCTATCTCGGATATAAACCTTCAGCTCGGCCAAATCACCATGGCAGGGCGGCCTTTCGCTACTCGTATTCCCGAACACTGATCGCTCGTCACAGAAGCCATCGGACGAAGACTGGCTGATGAGCCTCCTCGAAAGTGGCCACAGGGCTGAGAACAAAGTTTTATCTCAATACAGACGTGTAGCGGCTGAGCTGAGCGCCAATGCTGACGAATGGACTCCGTCGCCGAGAGCACGCCTGTCAGATGAACTAAATCGATATAAATATAAGCACTATCCCAAGCCATAATGGACCCCTTTCAGGAACTTTGACAAGGCATCGTGGTTCTCGAAAACCGCCCTTTCTCGAGAAATAGTCCCATATATCTTACGGCATATAACCACTATCTGTATATATACAAAATGACACGCCTCGAGCGCAGTTCCTACAAACGGCTCATTGTCTGCTGCGATGGTTTGAAGTCACCTGTGTACCTTGAATGCCATGCAATCTGGTCGCTAATGCACACCTCTAGGAACCTGGCAGGACTCCACAGCCGACTCTGCGGACCCACCGTCCAACGTGACCCGGTTGAGTCGAACACTCAGTCAGACAGCGATCGTGGAAGAGAACGGTGTCAGGAAAGAAGTCCCGCAGATAGTCTACTATCAAAAGGGGGTTGGCACCGGCCTAGGTGACAAATATATGGGCGGTATGTCAGCCCAGTTGCCGCCTTAATTATCTCGCCATAATCAATACCTACCCCTACTCAATTGTTGGCCTCCCACTGACAAGGGTTGTGTTTCGGTCACCAGGTGTCACCGGACTAGGCGTGAGCGCCAACGTCCGTGCGGCATACGGCTTCCTGACCGACAACTACACCGAGGGCGACGAAATCTTCTTTTTCGGCTTCTCCCGTGGCGCCTACACCGCGCGCGCGATCGCGGGACTCGTCTGCCGCTGGGGACTGCTCACGCACCGCGGCATGGACAACTTCACCAACGTGTACGACGACTTCTACGAGAAGCAGGTCCCCGACTACACGCCCGAGGAACGACGCCGGCTGGGGTTCCGGGAGGAGCTGCCGCCCTTCACCGTCAAGATCATCGGCGTCTGGGACACGGTGGGGTTCCAGAAGGCCTGGCTCGGCAAGGACCTGGGCGAGCGCCTGGAACTCCGGAATACCTACTTGCTCCCGAACGTCAAATATGCCTTCCACGCTCTGGCGCTGGACGAAGAGCGCACCGCCTACTCCCCGATCCTCTGGCATGTGCCGCGCCCGAACCCCGGCCAGGAGCTTCTCCAGGTCTGGTTTTCCGGCGTCCACACCGACGTCGGGGGCGGCGGGAAGGATCCCCACCTGGCGAACATCTCCCTGGCGTGGATGATCGCTCAGTGTATGAAGGACGGCCAGCTGAGCTTCGATATCGACGAGTATCTCTTTGACGTGCCCCCGCGGGTGGCGGAGAGCGACCTCGCTCCGTGGGCGACCAGTCAGGGCAAGTCCGACACGGCGAGTCTGGTCCGCACGCTAGAGGGCGTATTCGGGGGCACCTCGCACCGGACGCCGCTCGGATATAACCCCAAGGGTGAGGAAGGCGACTTCACCGGGGAATACATCCACGAATCGATCAATGGTCGCAAGCTGCGCGGCTGGAGCTGGCCCTGTGCTCCCCTGAAAGGGAAGAGGGAGAATGGTACTTGGACCCTGGCGGACTCAAAGACAATTCTGGAGATTCGCGCATTGGAGAGAGAAAGGTACATGAAGGGCAGAATCCGGACAGTCCACGTTGAGGAGGTGGATTAGACTGTTCCTTGGACGATTGAACTGTGGTTGCAGCCCGGACGGGGCTATTTTGATGTTTGTTGGGGTCGTATATCCCTGGGGTTTAGACTGCGTAACTTTGAAGTTT